CGGAACCTCTGAACCCCCCGAGCCTGCTCCGGCTGCTTATTGCCGGAAATTTCGGGCGCAAAGTGGCCAAAAGTGAGCCAGTTGGGGCCTTGGGGTTTAGTGTTTAGGCGTAGCCGCGAGAGGGCACCGAAGCTCGGCTAGTCTAAAACGAAGCGTTGCTTTTGCTCGAGGCTGATCATCAGCAGCCGTGCCACGATGGCTGGTGTCCTGGGTGCGTAGAAGTTCCTTCAACCCGATCATCCCTTGATCTTGAACCTGCGGGTCCCTCATTGAGGGCATTTTAGCGGTCAATGTATTAAGTACGGGATCCCCGTTGTTTGGGGGCCGTATACTCTGAACTGCCCGCCGTAAGACGAGGACATCTGCCGTGTAGCCAGGCCTGCCTTGTTTGTGAGCGGTGCGCCGCGCAGGGGGGGCTTCAGGCTTGCAGTAGAGTCTTCAAAGATCCCGGTTTGGGCCCAAACTTCTTCCTGAGCGGGCTTGGCCCGCGCTTGAGTTTGCCGCGTCTTGTGGACATGGTTTTCGGGACTGTTGTGCAAGATCGTCGGCATCGTCTCGACAGGGCGACTTCCTCAACCTGAGGTCTTCGGAGCCCTCCGGCCCGAACTAGTAGAGCCAGCAGACTCCTCTCCGTGACAGATAGGAGCTACGCGTAGCTGCCCAAGGAAAGCGGGCCAAGTTGCGAACAGCCTCGTGCTAATGTGCTCCAGCCATTCCGCTGTGGGTGTGGGCTTCCTCCTGTGTTGTATGTTCTTCGTTGGAAAGCATCTGAGACCTCTGGGGCGCCCGAGAGATGTCCTCTGAGAAGTCTACCTCCACTTGCAAAGGGGGGCTCAGCCCACTTGCGGGTTTTGCGCCGGGTTGTGGGTATCCAGGGACAAGATCTTCCTGGAGCTCTCTTCTCTCTTCGTTCTCATCCCTAAAGCCTAAAATCCTAAGCCCTAAACCATGATTACTAAAGCCGCGTCGCCAAGGAAGTTCTTAGCCATTGCAGCTCTGCAGCTGTAGATTCTCTCCACAGCAGGAGTTCGCTCTGCGCCTTGCCCTCCGGCCCTGTGCGGCTCTCGAAGGGTTTAGGGTTTAGGAGGGGAGTTTGAAAAGGAACTGCTTGACTCATGGAGGCCTTGAATCGGAAGGAGACGCCCCTGGCACCTTCGAAGGCGTTTTGGCTCCCGGGGACCTTGGCATCTACGAGGATGCTTCTGCCTTGTCGCAGGGCCTCCTGCAGTTGTCAGCTGCCGGAGATCTGCTTTTCAACATCCCGGGCGCTCCTAAACCCTAGACCCCTAGACCCTGCAGGTTCATCTTTCGGAATCTCTGCCCATCGCTTTTGAGCCCGGGATCCGACTCCTTGCAACCTCCCAGCTCCAGCTCCAAGCCGCATCTCCCCTTCCCAATCCCAAAGGCCGTTTCGAGACTCAAACCCCCCTGCTCCAGCTCTTTCCTGCCTTCCACGTAGGCACTCTCTGAAAGCCTTGGCCCAATGCTTGGGAGGCAGGGATTGCCTTGTTCTAAGCCTTTTCATGTGAGGACAGCACAGTGGGAGCCTCATTTTAAAAGCAGGAAGAAGGGGCCCCCGGCTTCTTGGCCTCCGGACTCCCATGTGCACATTTGGGCTCCACCTCTTTTTGCTCTTGAAGTCGACGGAGTTGAACCCCGAATCTCTCTCCATCTACGGCATCGAAGCGGATGGGACCAAAGCCATGAGCCTTTGAGCAGCGGCACCGGGGTGAGGGCCATGCTGACGGTGTCCAGACCGAACCATCGCAGGTTTTGGTTGCCCTGCTCAGGGCGATGCGGAGCCGTCGGGTTTGGGGGAAAGGTGAGCAGGATCCGCTGGAGCTCTGGAAAAAAGGCTTAGATCCCTTAATGGGGGTTCCGATAAAGTACCCTTAGTCGTATAGGGCCCCAGACTAGGGGACGGTCGGAGCTCTGGAAAAAGCCTCTTAGCTCGGCCCGGCGATGGCAGAAGCAGCAGCGATGCAAGGCGTTTCCGCTTGCTATTGCCCTCCGTGCCTTTGCGTGTGAAGAGAAGAGGAGATCTGGCAGTGGGAGTGATGATTCTAGTCCGAGCGGTCCTAATGAAGGGGCCTTAATGCTATAATTATATGGAGGAACCCTCAAAATAGTATAGGTAATTCTTTAGTCACCTATATTGGTCCTAGTTCATCTCGCGTGCGCTTTGCGGCTCAGGGGCTCATGCAGATCTTTGCTCGGAGTTGGGTCGTTGGTCTCGCCGGCGCCTGAGAACCCTCCCAGCCATGCAGCTAAGCCGTGCTTGGAGTCTTCTGCTTGCGAAGCCAGGGTTTGGCTTAGATCCCTTAATGAGGGTTCCTATAAAGTACCCTTAGTAGTACAGGGCCCCAAATTAGGAGATCTACTTTCTAGATCCTCTATAAGGGAGTCATAATCCCGCGGAAGGGTGCCACGATCTCGCTTCATCGCAGTTGTCTCCGGTGGTCTCCGAGCTTGGATTCCCTTTCTTGGAGCCGCAGACTGTCTCGGAGAGCGCCGGTCCTTGCCCTGCAAATCCGAAAACATACATCCGAGGGTCGGAAATTAAGGAGGACGCCCAAAACTAGGAGTCCTGTTCTGATCCCGTAAAGGGATCCCTGCTTCGAAGAGACTCCTCTACCTTGCATCCAAGAATCCTTCGTGGGGAGCTTGCAGTGAGATTTTTTTACCTGGCAACCTGCTCGGGGTCCAGTGAGCAAAAGCAGCGTAAACCTTAACCTGAACCTTAAACCCTTCCTTATAGTCTTGAAACCTGAGGGCTTGACTTGAAGAAGCCTTCAAGAATCACGAGGCGTCGACCGGCTCGAAGCGTCTGAAAGGCAGAGGTCGAACGTCAGGCTTCCTTTTCAACCGGGTTCCTGCCCCGGCAAGAAGCCGCAGAAGCCCCACATTTCTTCCGTGCTGCCCAATACAGTGCAGAGTTCAGCATGTGGGGTTTTGGCGGTTTTGGGGTTCACCCCAAACCCTAAACCCTAAACCCTAAACCCTAAACCCTAAACCCCAAGGAGTTCGGGGCTTAGGGCTTCGAGTCCCAAGCCTTCAAAGCTTCCGCGTTGAAGTCTGCGGCCGGCCGCGGCGCGCCCGCACGGTCTCGGGTTTAGGGGTCTACAGGCCCTAAAAGCGTTAGGTCCTTTTCGGGGGTTAGGATTCAGGGTTAGGGTTCCGGGTCCCAGGCTTTCGGGCTTCGGAGCCTTAGGAGCACAGGTAAATCTCTTGCCCGCTGCCAGCTCGGCTTTCCGTTGCAGCCGGAAAGGTCGAAGCTTCCGCCGAGCATGACGCAGGCTGTGCGAAAGCTTAGCAGGCTGCACAGTCCTGCGTTCTACAGGAGAGCAGGCTGGTATTCAGGCGGTTTGGGACGAAGGGCTTTTTGAGCCTTGCTTTCGGGGTGAGGGGGTGTGGGCTCGGTTTGGCCTGCTTGCATCCGGCATCTGGGTGGCGTGGCGAGGTCCCTTCCCAGACTCTCTGAGCTCTGACGTGGCCCTCCTCCCCGCCCCACCGAAGCCTCCTGTGTCTCCAAGCAGCTTCGGTCTTCTGCGTCGCAGGACAGAAACAAGATACACGGCGCGTAATATATGTCTTGTGCACAACAAGATGTCACACTCGTTCTTGCGGCTGCGTTGCAGCCTTGCGTCTCAAGAGGGCCCTTGGCTCTTCCTGCCTTGTAAGCGCCGCTTCCTGGGCTTGGGCTTCTTCCGAAAAGCTGGGTGGGTGGGTGGGGGGTTTTAGGGCCCTGCTGGGGTTCGCGGGATTCGGGCTGAGGCGCTTGGCATCCGAGGACGGGGCCCTGAGAAGCCACGAAGCCGCGACCTCTCTCCTCTCACTTTTTTCGAAGAGTTACCCAAGCCTTCCAAGTCACAGTAAACACCCCAAGCTGGCTTCCGAAAGCACTCCCTGCGCCCTGCGCCCTCCTTAAGATGCTTCTGGGGCCTGGTACCCCGGGAAAGGGCCCTTGTGGGCTGTCCCTGGACCTTGAAACTCGTCCTTGGACCTCTGAAAAGCCGAACTCCGGTAGCAGAGTTCGGGGCGCCACGCATGCGCCGACGTGTTTGCTTCTGACAGCTTCCAGGACATTACTTGGCGTTTCCGTTTGGGGTGAGAGGGTCGCAGGAGTTGAGGGTCTCGGGATTCTGAGAGCTCCTTTAAGAGCGCTGCCTTCGCGAGAGGATGCGCCCCTCGCGGCGCGTTGAGACCAGGAGGGGTTTCGGTTTTAGGGGGCCCTCCGGTAGTGTTCTTCACGCCGTCAAAGGCAGCTCCCTCTGCACAGACATGTGTCCTCTAATCGCTTCTTGCTGAGCGCGAGGGGGCGCCTGCAACACAGCGTCGGGCTGTCTCCGACGCCCAATCGGGCCAGTTTTGAGCAGATCAGCTCCTCCAAGCGCTGCAACCGTGAGGAGGTCCCCGACGTTTACATCTGGTGGCATTGATTCGCTGCTATCAAAAACGCGCCGCAATGTCCCCCCGTTGGGTTTTAGGCCTTTGGGAGCTTTGACGGGGATCGAGGGTGTTGTAATTTAGGGGCCTGAATAAATGCCAATAGTGCTTTCAACACTCCTTATTATACTTGTAGTAGAATACACCCCAAAGCCCTACTCTAATTATTCAGGCCCTTCTATTAGACCTCGGGGGCCTTGAGAGCATATAGGGCTTTAAGGCTTCACGGTTTGGGGGTGGTGCTTGGGTTCTTGGAGCGGTTTCAGACAAGGGCTTAGGATTGAAGACGTCCAACGAGCTCTGGTTTTAGGGATTTTGGTGCGTGTTTGTTTAGGGTTTAGGGTTTAGGGTTTGGGTTTAGGGTTTAGGGTTTAGGGTTTAGGGTTTAGGGTTTAGGGGCTCTGGTCTATACACACACAGTAAAAAATCTATCACGATGTGGATACTAGAAATCGAAAGCCCTGCTTGAAATCCCAAGCCCTTAGTAGCTAAGCCAATCGGGAAGCATCGGGCAGTGCCTTTTGGCCCAAGTTGTTTGAGAAATCGCTTCCACCATGATCTGCAAGGCAGGATGACCGGTTCGGGTTGTGGAAAAAAGAGTTTGGGGTTTAGGATGTATGGTGAAGTGTTATTCTTGAGGGTTTAAGGGTTTAAGGGTTAGGGTTTAGGGGTTAGGGTTTAGGGTTTAGGATTTGGGGATTTAGGGCTTATTGTGAAGGGTTATTCTTTAGGGTTTAAGGGTTTAGAGTTTCGGGTAGAGTTCAGATTTTGTGATGCCCTCCTCAGAGGGGTCTGTGGTCCCCTTACGGCCGTTTATATTGGGGTCCCCGTACTGACACGCAATACTAGTGGAGACGGACGAGGTCTCGGGTTCAGTTAGGGTTGAAGAGCAAATCGGCAGACGCAGAAACCTCATCCGGATCAGGTCTTGCTGCTGCTGCTGCCAGGCAGCCTGTGCATGAGACTGGGTAGCAGGATTAAACAAGATGTTTTAAGGGTAGCGTGGCAGTAACGTTTATAAGAAGACGAATTCGAAGAAGAATGATCACCGGGACTTAAACACTGCGAAGACCAACTGCGGTATCTAGGCGTTGCAGCAACAACATGCAGAAGAACATTACTCCAGGCTCGAACCGTATCCTTTCGGAGGTATTGTGGCAAGCACGGATTTGGCAGTAGTAGTACCAACCAGTATTCAGTACAACGAGCTTGCGATTGAAATGCTAGATGGTTCTCCAGCCTTATGCTCATCAGAAGCCCCTAGCACCCCTGCACCCAAGCTCGAAGGGCAAACCCCCCTGACAAGACCCAAAGCCCTACACCTGCAAAATCCCCCGCAGTTAGGCCTTATGCCATTGGAGCCTTGAGGTTAAGCGTTATAAGTATGTAGGGCTATCTTGTTGGGCCCAGAAGTTATCTGTGCACTGTGAAGCCCTGCTGTTGCCGCATCTCAAGCCCCCAAAGCTCACCTCAACAGCCCTGCAGTTTCGAACTTGGGCTTTGGGTTTGAGCTTGAGGGTTTAGGGTTGAGATTTCCGGGTTTAGGGGGCATCTCAGGCTCAAGGTTGAGGAACGACCTATGTTTTGGGGTAGAGTATTCGATCAAGTCCAAGCGAGAGCTTGGGTGTTAAGCGCCCAAGGTGCTAGAAGCAGACGACCCCTCCAGTGGGGTTCCCATCAAGGCTCCTTTCGCGGTTCCTGCAAGGGGTTCCTCGAATGCGGGGTTTAGGGTTTAGGGTTTAGGGCTTCATGGATTGCAGCTAAAGTTTTGCCGGGTATCGGGCAGATCCTCAGTACTCTCAGACCCGACACGCCGAAAGCTGGAACCGTTGAGCTGTCCGATAAGGAGACAGACGCATGAAGTGCAGACAGGAGGAGTCCAGGTGACAGAGTCTTCGGCTCTTAAGGTTGAGGATTTGGCTGCGGACCTTCGGGGCCTTTATGGCGTGATGCCTTGGCATTGAGGGGTGTCGGATGAAAGTTGGCCGTTTGGAGTTGATCGGGGCTTAGTCATGAACATTCTCCCGGCTTCTACTTGGGGGGTTTAGGGTTTAGGTCTTGATCCAGGCAGGTACTGGCAAAGGCGTCAATTGCCGGCCAACCTTCAATCCCATACCCCTAGACCCTAAACCCTAAACCTTAAACCCTAAACCTTAAACCCTAAAGCCTAAACCTTAAACCCTAAACCTTAAACCTTAAGCCCTTAAGCCTAAACCTTAAACCCTAAACCTTAAACCCTAAACCTTAAACCCTAAAGCCTAAACCTTAAACCCTAAACCTTAAACCTTAAGCCCTTAAGCCTAAACCTTAAACCCTAAACCTTAAACCCTAAACCTTAAACCCTAAAGCCTAAACCTTAAACCCTAAACCTTAAACCTTAAGCCCTTAAGCCTAAACCTTAAACCCTAAACCTTAAACCCTAGACCCTAAGCGCTAAACCTTGTCTTGGGCCTCTCACTGTCAATCCGAAACGTAAGATGGTCTTCGACCCACACCGCCAGTGGAAACCCCAAGCATCCTGAGCCCCTGATATGGTACCTTTAAAGGGATCTATAAGGCTTCCTTTAAGGGATCTATAAGGGTTCTATAAAGGGTTTAGGGTTTAGAGTTTCCGAAAATAAGGGGTACCTTATTTTGGGGGGTCCTTATAATAAGGGTCCTACTACTTAGGGTACTCTATTGGGGTCCCCTATTTTCGGAAACTGCCATATAGGAGCCGGAGCCCATAAAGGAGACCTTAAAGGAACCCCGAAGGGACCCTGAACCCCTGGTATCTTTGTCATAGTTGGGTAGCATTTTACATGTTTATGGGTACTTAAACCCAATAAGGAATAACGATGTACATTCTTAATCCTATCCCAACTATGAACTAGATATAGGAGCCAGAATAATTAGCAATACTGTTCGCTTATCGTCCCTTCCGTAATGGTTGTGTTCTGCATAGGGCCAACATACTGGCCAAAAATCCCAGACCAAAGCCCTGAGGTTACCCTAAACCTTAAGCTTAAAACCCCGAAAACCCCAAACCCCCGACAGTTGTTTAACAGAAGAGTGCCCCGGGCTGTTGTAGCAGGGCGACGTCTGAGGGATATGCTGGGGTGCTTGTGGGTTGATGTAAGTTCCACAGCCCTTTGCATTCCCCACGGGATTTTTCCTAGACTGGGCTTTGGAGTATCATACTTTAACACTTTTTTGGGACCTGTTACTTAAAGGAAATCAGACATGTCTTGGATGGGAGAAGAGGTGCTTCACGAAGACCCTCAACCTTACACCCTAAACCCCCAAACCCTAGCTGCTAAAGCCAAAGCTGTGAAGGCCGAAACCCTAAACCTCATAAAATAGGGGCCTAAGTAATTACCTAAACTATTTTAGGGATTCCTTACTGTAAGTATAGTATAACGGGCCCCAGAACCCTATTCTAATGATTAAGGCCCCTATATTAGCAGACTGACAAGGACAACTGGGTGCACCCCATGGATCTCACGGACTTCTTCGTGCTGCACTGGAAGGACTCTCGGAACGTTATGGTCTAGGGTTTAGGACCTAGGGCTTAGGGTTTGTGGATCAGTCGAAGGTTTGGAGTTTGAGTGTTTATCTGAGCCCCAAATGACCTGCCTTTCCATGGCTGAGTCTAACTAGGATGCCCAGTAGTACCCTTCTTCCCTTTTTGTAGTCCTAGGTTCCGTATAAAGTTACCCAATACCAAAAAGAGAGGCCTTTTTATTCTTAGGTTATACTGGGTATCCTAGCTAATCGTTTCCTGTTTTTTTGGTCTACTGTAGGGCAGTTTGGGTCTACCTAGAACCTACACCCAGCATCCTCCAACCTTAAACCTTAAACTCCTAAAGCCCGAAAAACACTCAAGCGCGAGCCCTAAACCCCAAACCTAAATCTTTAAACCCCTAAAGCCCGAACCCCAAAGCATCCACACGCAAAGTATCATGAATCCTTGAAGAGCCGACCCGCAGCTCACGACCGCGGACCGCGGAGAACTGCCAGGAGATTCCTGTTACCATGTCGAAGGAGTTCAGGTAGCTCGGCAGGGTTTAGGGTTTTAGGGTTTAGGGTCTAGGGTTTAGGGTTTGGGGCAGGTTGAAATCCAAAGTCGGGGGTTTGAAATGGTTTCCCCAGTATCTTTAACTCACAAAGTCATAAAGGAATATAAGCCGCCCAAAAACCTGAATTGAGCACTTTGAAGCTGAAGCTTCATCCCTAAATCGCAAGTCTGCGTCGTTCCACCCTTGCATTCATCGTCCGGAAACTTTTTGTTGACATGAGAAGTTGGAGCTACAAGGTGGGGTCTGAGGGCCTATGCGCGGCGGAAGTGTTTGCGGTTCGGGATTTCGGGCCAGGTTTTAGGATATAGAGTCTTAGGGATAGTCGGAATCACAGAAGCTTGAAGAAGCACCTGGCTTCTTGTAGATGGCCGTACTACACTTTACAAGCGACAGAAACTGTAATAACTGCAGCGTCAAAGAAGAAGTTTTGCCGACTGCTCCAACCCCAGTCCTCCTGACTTCAAGTTCGACATTTCAGGACCCAGGGTTTCGAAGATGTCAGGCTTGCTCGAGACCCTTACAACACCCTACAAAACTGTATATAGATCCCCAGAAAGCCCTAGAGAGCCCTTAAGAACCCTTTCAGAAACCTCCAACCCTCCCTGAAGCTTTAAATCCGAAACCCCAAAGCCCCAGCTCACACCGCCGTCTTCTCCTCTCTTTTTGTGTATCTGAGGATCGAAGGCCCTGCGGAGTATACCTTCAGATTCATCTTCCTTAGGGCTTTGAGGTTCTCGGGTTTCGTCATTCTCCTTCGGGCTTTGGGGTTCTAGGGTTTCGGGTCTCGGAGTGATCCCCGTGTTGGTAGAAGCGCGATCGGCTTTCTAATTCTACTGTTCTCATTATTAATATTGTTATCGTGATGAATGTGATGATAACTATCGTTGTTGGTATTCTTGGTGCCGTTATTGCTACTTTATGAACCCTAGGGTATATATATAAAAAAATATACATATATATATATATATATATATATACATATATATATATATATATATAGATGCCTTAAAGGAACCCTTAAGGATCCCTTTAAAGGAAGGCTAGTGAGGTGATCTGGGGTCCAAAGGGTTTAGAGTGCTCCGGGTCGTCCAAGCATCGGGGTCGGGGATGGGTTTGCAGGTTCATGGCTTAAGGGTTTAGGGGTTTAAGAGTTTAGGGTTAAGGGTTTAGGGCTCGAGTACGAGGGCCAGCCAACTGTTTTAGCAGCAGAAGCGAAAGCGAATAAGATCTAACTTGGTACACTTCTCGATTTAAAAAACGTCTTCTGTACGTGCCTGACTGTCTTCCTTGCTGCAGGGGCCATGCACCTGCGGAGTCAAGCGTGTCATCCTTGCAGCAGGGGCAGGGACATACACATCTGCGCTCCCCCTTTTGGCGTTCGCCAAAACACCACCAAACCCCAACAACCCAACCACACTTAAGCAGCTGAAGTCCAAAGGGCCCTCGGAAAAGGGTGGAGAGAAGTCCAAGTGGAGGAGTGCAAAGGAGTGTAGCCCAAGTAAGGCTCAAGACGCTCCTCAGTTTCTGAGGAAAAGGACTGTGGTTGCACAACAAACGGCGCAAGGCTTCACAGTGCTTGCAAAAGATGGGACATGTAATCCCCTGCACGGTTTTGCAGAAGCACGGCTCTTCACCAATCTGCAAGCTACACAACCTGAGAACCTGACCCAAACCGGACTTACAACCGGAAGCTAAGAAAATCGTCAAAAATCCAAAGATGAGCCGATACTGTACTCCAAGGGTCAGAAAGGATTAGCATGTCTCAAGCAGATATCCGCGAGACTGGCACGCCTAACAAACTAAGACCCACAAGCCACACCTTTAAGGACGTATGACAAAACGACCCCTAAAAACCACGCCTAGAGCACCTTACTTCAATCCACCTCAGGGACTCCATCCTGGTGCATGCGCTCGAGGCGAAAGCCCTCGTTCGTGTAAAAGATATGTTGTTGAGCATCTGACAACTGTTCAAGTGGCACTTCAATGCCATTCCTAATCAGAAACGCTGCAGCTGAAGCGATAGCATGATTTATTTCTTCATCAGCCTCTTCAATCTCACTGTCAGTCGCAAGCGGAGGAAATCTTGTTGATCTTAAGACCGCAACGTCATCAACATACCTCACCACAGCATCAGAGGAGCTAGCAGCCTCATTGGTACCTGCAGCCCAGGGTGTTAGAGTTGGCAAGTCAGGATAGAGACCTGCCTCACGCATCTCTTCATACTGGCGGTACAGCTGTTCGGGTCCAGGGACTACATCGATTCCATGCCTATTGATCTGGTCACGGTGGGGGTAAGTAGGGTCATACCTAGCCCTATACTCAGCAGCAGGAACTATCCCAACCCCTTGAACCCAGTGCGGAGGAGTTCCAGATGACGAGCTGGAGTCTGATCTCGTTGCCATATACAGCTCGAAATCTCGCCGCGCTCCGCGGTCATAATACTCAGCTGACCGACCAGACTGTATCGAAGAAGACTCTGCATCACTACGCGGGGATTGAGGTTCCGGCTCGTAGGGAAGGGCCTCAGGAACAACTACTACAGGATGATTTCTCGGGGCCTCGGGTGGAAGCTCGAGTGCGACAGTTCCTTGCATGTCAACAACCAGGCTGCTTCTTAACACGCGATCAATGAAGTTTTCCCAGCTATTAGGGTCCCCAAGATCAAAAAAGTTAGGAATTTCAATCCGGTTGGTGTTCCTTCGCAGCGGGGGAGGTTCAACCGTGGGGCTACGTTGCTCTGGTGCTCCAGGCAGGAGGGCCCACGGAGAAAACTGCACGTCTGGGCCTGCACCAGTGCTAACTCGCCTTGGCCTGGCACCTCTGCCACGGCAACGCAGTCCATCATCGTAGTCAGCAATGACTATAGGCTGCGGGATTTGCTCGGAAAGCGGAATGGGTTCAAGCTCTGGCTGCTCAAGGCCATCTTCGACTGGCTCAGTGCGTCGTGTGCTAAAGAACCTTCCCACAGCACAAAGCAGAAAAATCCCTATTGCAACCACAAGAACCGGAACTATTGAAAGCCACCAGCTGCTCCAGTCATCCTGCGTCGATCCTTCAACTCCTCCCTTGCCCTGAGCCTGAACAGGCAGCGAACCGACAACAAGCAGCGCCAACGCCTGCCTCAAAAGGTTTAGTTTCGCAACAGGGGCCTTAACCTTTGGCACATCGTACCCGCACAAAAGCAAGAGGTCTCTGACACGAGTCCAAGGCAGCACTTTCGTGGCAATATCTGCCAGCATGTGTTCTCCTTTTAAGTGCGACAGGTGCCACTTTCCAGACTGGAGCCTTTCCCGGAGGGCTTGAGACCGAACCCGCAGGTGGCGCGTGCGCCAATTGCCACTTTCAAAAGAAGCGATTGAGATGGATGCAAGGTTATCGCAGAAAGCCTGACACGCTGGAAACTGCTGAACCTCTGGGTGAAGCTCATGCACCAGCCCTTCAAGGGACTCCGTCAACGCTACACCCTCAAGAACCCCTAACAGCTCACACTCAGCAGTAGAGAGAGCTGTGAAGGGCTGCTTACCTGCACCCCAGAAGACTAGATTGCGACCGACCTGAACCAGGCCAGCTTCAAAGCTTCTGTCACCAGCTGGAGCGAAACTAGCATCAGTGAAAGATTCAAGCAGGTAAGGAAGAGCCGTGACGCGACGCTCATTATGCATGCCATGGGGAGGCTGATCTGCGGCGCACTGGTACTTCAGAGCGACCCGCTTGGTGCCTTTAAGATAGCAAAGGATATGCAGACCGAGCTTGAAAGCAAGCTCCGGACATCGACTCACCAATGATGTTACCCTCGCAACCCCATAGACAATGTCTACTCTTGTCTTTCCAGACACCCAAAGAAGCTCACCCGCAAGTGCCTGGGCCTTTCTCAAAGCAACAGGGGAAGAAGGTTCTGGCTCTTCTGGGTCCTGAACCTTTACAAACGGGCACGAAGTCTCTACCAGTGGAGCCCCAAGACTCTCTTCGTAGCGCTTTACAACATCTTCTATATACGATGCTTGGTGGACTAAGAGCGCACGGCCTTGTCTCTCTATTTCAACACCACAAAAGCGCACAGGATTCTTAGAGCTAAGCTGGTCCGGCTCCGAGCACTGCCAGATGTTGCGAATTTCAGCGAGGACTGCGGATGCATACTTTGCAACACCTCCAATCATGAGGTCATCGACATATACGACCAGAAGGCCGACAATGCCTCCTGACGATGCCGTCAGTAGCCATGCATTTGGCTCAGAAACTAGCTGTCTCAGGCTTATTTCAATATCTCCAATCTTAACGCGAACAGTCTTTAACGTGCGGTCCCTAAGTTTCGACCAACATTTAGGAGACCGGTCAAGGCCGTACAGAGCACCTTCAACCAACCACCGCTCAGCTCTGCTGACTACTCCGGCAAGCTGAAAGATACGGGGCGGATCAAGGACGATCAGCTCCTCGGTCCCTGACTCGACCAGACTGCTATCAACACCATCGGACAACTTCGCGTTTAAGAAAGCTGTTTTGACGTCTGTCACCCAGACATCCCAGTCGGGGTGCTGGGATATGAAAGCCAACGACAATCTTAGTGCGCTCGCGTCGATTCCACCGGCATATGTGAGCATACGATGTTCATACGCGGAGCCACCAGCTGAAGGCCCGTGATTTCCACATGCGACGCACCTAGCCTTCCTTAAGCCTGACACCGCCTTGCGAGTGAAGACTCCTTTTGAGGGCAGACGCAGCACCGCACGTCCCTGGGCAAGCCATTCCGCAATTTGTTGTTCCGAAATCGGCCTTAGCACTCCTTTTACACGGAGGCTGTCATATTCGGCACTTATCGCTGGCTTCCACAAAGGAAGTTCGCGTTTGACCTGATCGAGGCTCACAGTTTTCGTTTGCAACGGTGGTGGCTCATGGTCCGGAGCATGGGCATCAGAAGCAGAGGGTGACTCCCCCAGTCCTCTAAGACGAAGCTCTTTGACTGCTAAGGGGCACTTGGACTCCCCCGGGCCCGACAGCACCTGATAATAGGCAAGGAAGTTTTCTATGCCTTCAGAGCGCGCCTCGAGGACCTCACTGACAGCACTACTTGAACCACTAGCTGCCTGCAAGCTGCGAAGATTAACCCTAGCCCTATTAAGCTCTTCGATCCCCTGCAAGACACAGGTCTCTACCGGACCGTCTATCAGTACAAAGGACTCAAGGGGGTCATCGGGAGGGGTCTCATGATCATGGCAAGGGCTTAAGCTCCGAGCCTCAACCTGAAGGGAGGACGCAGCTTCAGCAGCCTCAAACCATAACTTCGACTCAGCACTGCAGGCCGCATCCAAACCATAAGCCTCTTCGCTGAAATCAGACTCCGCCTCAACCTCATCAACCAAGAGCCCGACACCGGAGGAAGACTCTTGGGCAGGAGGAGAAGTATCAATCAACGCACTCAGCTCATGCGGTCGATTTTGATTTTGAGTTGCAAGCCCCTGTTTGGAACAAGAAGGCGAAAGATTACTGTGGGCTCCCCCCCCTGCGTCAGACGCAGGGCAGCAAGAAGGCAACGGAAAGCCGGCGCAAGTCAGCTCCGCCACAACCGGGAGAGGAGCCTTCACACATCGTTTGAGAGTGAACGCAACAAGGAGGTATTTGTCGCCAGACCACGAGTCACCGGCATGAAAGCAGTGCGGTGAGAACGAGAACGAGGCACCAACCGTATC